CGGGTTCTTCCTAGCGCAGCAGCTGCTTGTATAGAAATGCAGGTATATACATGCAGCATGCATCACTCCCCTGCTAATAACTTTTGTCAGAGGTGTCTGGCAAAGGGTATTTGCGTGCTGCAAACAGGCACAGCGGAGAGATGTCCCAGGAGTGACTGGACTGGGGGGCTGGATGCTTTAAGAGGCTTCCAGCAACCCACGTTACAGAGAATTATATTAGAGGAAATGTCTCAGCACGGTGGCCCCCAGCTGGTCCCGTGCCCTTCCTCCCTGTCTCTCATTATTTTTTATTTTTCTTTTTCCATTTTCTTCTAAATCTGCTGCCTGAGTTGTATGTGTTCACTGGAGCTAAACGGGGACAGGCTCATCCCCGCTGTCCTCTTGCCCCCTGTCCCAGCCAGCAGCCACCCCATCGCCCCATCGACTTTTTGGGGGTTATTCTCCTGGTTTCTCATGGCCCAAGCAGCCCATGGGATGCTTCAGCGGTGCCGCCCGGCCAGAGTCCCCTGGAAGGTCCCTGCACAGCCCCACTCGAGGCGATTAACTTGCCCGCACCTGAGCACGGGGCTCAAACTTTACGCCATCAAAAGCACTGAAGCTCCTTGTGTGACTAAAGAGGCGCTTAAGGATTTTCTGTATCTGCTTTCAGGCAGGGAGCCTATTATTATATTATTTTTGTTAAGCTATCCGTATATTTTTAATTGTTCCTGAAGTTTGCAGTAATCCTAAAACGTAAAAGGCGATAGGTGTTTTCATTGGCAGCTTTCTCGTGTTACTTAGCGTTATAATAAAGAAACGAGAGAATGAATTTTAGAGCTAATTCAGAAACATCCACAGATGTTAAAACAGCTTAAAAAGGGATCAAATAAACTCAGGTTAAAAGAAAAAAAAAAAAAAAAAACCAACCCAAACCTTCCTTCTGATGTTTTAGACGTCAGCTCCCAGCCTTGCTGGGGATAAATCAGTTTTCAGTATTTACACCAAGGTTATGCAGGAATAAACTCTTCAATTTGAGCCGGCACCTGAAGATGCCGCAGGTCGTTTTCTCTCATGAGAAATATATCGAAATCAAGTTTGTGGATGCTGTAGTCTTCCTCTGTGCATTTTGTCATTTAATAGTAATAGTGCTCTGCACCTACATAGCCCATATCTTCGCTTACATAGCCCGTATCTTTGCTTTCATAGCCCGCAGAGGCTGTAAGTGGTGTCCAGGTACATGGGTGGGAGATGGAGAATTAACCATGGGTGGGTGTTACGCACCGCTCCCTTTGGTTTTCCCAGTGGAATTCAACAAGCCTGCAGCCTGGGAGCTTATTTTTGCAGGTTTTCTTTACTTTTTTCCCCTTACTTCTTACGAGGCAAAGTTGTGCTGTTGGCTTTCAAAGCTTGGCAATGGCATCCAACAGTTTTTTGGTTTGTTTGGGGTTTTTTTTTTCAGCTTTCTGCTTGGTTTGTATCTATATTGCTTTGGGGTTATTCTGGCCCATGATATGAACCAATATCACAGCAACGTGCGTGAACTTCATCTTAATCTTGAGTGCCATTTCAGATGCACAGATTGCCATATTATCCCAGAAGGACTTTAATGAAGGGGAAGCCGTGCCTGGCTCGGGAGCAGCGTCCCCGCGATGCGATGGGCGTCCGCCCTTAGCTGCTGCACAGAGCAGCACTTGCTGGCATGCTGGGGAACCCCCGCGATGCCAAATTTAGGGTTTCCTTTACCAGCACCATCTTTTGCTGTGTGCAGGGGGATCGATGACTTCCCAGCCTTGCCAAGCCCCGGAAACATCGGAGCTGCCGAACACTAAAGGGCTCAGCTTGGGATGGATGGTTTTCCCGTTGCATCTGATTTTTTTAGGGCTGTCTTGCAATAGGTTGAAACTTTCCTAAAATAGAGTCACAATAAAAATAGCCGGTGCTTGCAAGCGTGGTAAAATCCACATCTGAGAGGTTTTTGTGCTGTCCCCCGGGCATTGCGTGGGGCGATAGCTGTGATTTTACAGCAGTGATGAAGAGCAATAGTGGGTTGACTTGCATCTTCCTTTTAAAAATACATCATTTCATGTCAAGATTTAAAGGTGCCATTTGTACAATCGTTCTCTGCGTTGGATGGTAAGGAAGCGATAAAGTGCAGAAATGGAAATATTGTGAATTTAGCATTTAAAGCTGACAGCGCCCTTCGTTTTGCATCCTTACCATCTAACGATGGGACGAAGCTACCGCAACCTTGGCACTTGCAAAATTAGCAGGACCAGTGAGAGCAGGCTCTGCAAAATCGGATCACGAAATTTGAAGGAAAGAAGGAAAGCCAGCCGTAATTTTTAATTTTGTCGCACCTCGGTTGTATCGTGCGTCCCTGAATGTGTTGTCTTCTGAATATATTTAATACACGCCGCTCAGGAGCGTTGCAAAATGCTTCAGTGTCAAGTGCTCTAAAAATGCCAAGTCTTATTAACTATTATGCTAACGTAGCTCTTTCGGGGGCAGTTATTTGTCTCCTGGCGTAAAATACAAATGAAATACAAAATCTAAATGATGTTTCTAATGGGAGCGGCCGCTGGATGCGGCATCCACTGACCGGTAAAAGAGTTTCTTGCGAAGCAGACGCTGCAAGAATTGCTTTGGCGTCAAGGGAGAGCAGCGTTCCCAAATATGTGGATGCAGATTTTGCACAATCAATGATTATATTTTCCCTCTTTAAAATGATAAAGCTGTGAGGTTTTTTAATGAGAAACAAGCGGGTTGTTTAAGAGACAACGCAGCTTAAGCGTTGCAAACCGTAGTGCTTGGAAGTTACTGAGTCAATTGGTTTTAAATTAAAAATACGCACGCACAAATGTCTGCATTTTGAGTATCTCAGGGCATTCCTCACCCGAGCCTACCTATACTTTCACTTATCTGTTCATAAAAGTCTCGCGAAAACATACAAAAGATATTTTGTGCAATGACATCAGAGGGAGAAAATATTCTTAGAAAATTTCATGCTGTTAAATCTCTACAGATTTACAGTTTTATCCAGTCAAATTAATGCAAAACCCCAATGCAAGCATTTGGATTTTGAAAACTTTGGAGGAGTGTCATTTCCTAATAGTAATTATTGGTTTTACATTATTTTTTCACAGGGGAGCTGATCACAGCCGCATATGAGCTTGGAGTAAGTATTAGTTTTATTGTTTAATCAATGCTCTCATTAACAGTTTTAGGAATTAAGGAAGTTTAATTAAGCATGGAGTAAAGTAGATTAATTTATTTTCAAACCACAGTTTTTACTAACTTATAAGTACAGCACGCGACAATTTACTTCAAGTTTTAAATCCAATTAAACTAAATTATAAAGCAAAGGCTTTACTGTATATACAGTAGCTGGCTTATTATCAACCCAAATTTTGTATAAGCTGGGGAGAATAAAATAAATCGGGTTAACAATTTTAATAAGTTTTATTATTTAATAAACTTTATTATGGTGCATGATCCCTTTAGGCAAGACCTTAGGACTGTCAGCACGGTGGTAATCCGATAGCAGTGTGGTCTTTCAACTTGCTAACCAATAAAATAGTTGAGAAGCTGCTTTTTTTTTTAAAAAAAAAAAAAAAAAAAAAGAAAACAGCCTTTTGAATGACCCTAATATACTGTGAACCCAAACAAGGAGCCCTTTAAGGCACGCTAATGAAACGTGGCACCTCCTTTTCTCGCCGCCTCATTATTATGGGCGAGGCGTGGAGCCAAATCCACTAAGGAAAAATATTTGCGGAGTTCAAATCGGTACGAAAGGATGGGTCGGGGGAGAGGGTGCTGCTCGGAGATCCCCCGGCTCCTGCCGCCGGACCCTGGCGTGCTGCTCTCCTTTTGATTTCACAGAATTTCACCCCTTTTCAACCCCGTATCGATCTGTCCGTAGGTCGCCCACCCGCCCGGCTACCCCCTCTTCACGCTGCTGGCCAAACTGGCGACGGGGCTGCTGCCCCTGGGCTCCCCCGCCTACCGGGTCAATCTCCTCTGCGGCTTGGTGGGAGCAGCTGCCGCCTCTTTGCTTTTTTACACGGTTTTCAGGTAAAGTCATCGGGGGTGTTTTCTCGTTGGCGTGATGCCGGCAGGGCGCTTCCCCGTCGGCTCGGGACGTTTCCGAAGGCTCCCTCTGTTCCCCTCTGGCCTTTGCTCTAGCGTTTCCCCCTCCCTTTCCAGCTGTAATTAGTTCCTCTGATTAACCTAACAGGGGTTTAATCTGAATTTGACCTTCTTTCCTGCACAAAAGGCCCCTCTTTTTCTCTTTTTTTTTTTTTTTTTTTTTTTTTTTTTTCTTTTTCCCTTTCTGTTAAATAATAACAGTAATAATAAAAATTGCGCCCTTTCCCTTACGCAGACATGACAGGTTGTTCAGGCTCATTATCACAAATCACCGCTCGGTTTAACTAACCAGAACTAATGAAGTTTGTCGTTCTCGAAAGGTGCAGATGGTCTGTTTAAATTAACAGGATGAGCTTCACCTATCGGGGAAACCGTGAACTTGGTTTAATTGCAGCTCCCGGCGGAGGCGGATGGGCAGTTGCCTGCCGGTGGTACCCAAGGACCGGGGCGAGCATCGGGCACCGGCCGCCTTCCCCCGGCGTAGGTGCTTTTTCTCCGGACCTCTAACCTCCGGAGAAAAGGGAACAATCGGGATGCGCACGTGGGTGGGGATTTTGTTAACCCCGCTCGTCTTTGATGTGCAAGTTCTGGCTGCTCTTAACCTCAGCCTGACCCATATTTGAGAGGATTATCGCAACCCCGTACAAACAATTTCTGATGTTCTTTTGCAGGGAAAATAGGGCACGTTTCTGGGCTGCAAACAGTGAAATCTGAAATGATAGCGGGGCACTTTGGGATGAGACGGGGCAAGATTATTTTTGACAAAAGCCCTTTTCTCCCACCCATTTCCAGAGCCGCATTGCCCCTCGGGGAACCCTGCCCAGAGAGCGAGCGCAACGTAAAAATAAAACCAGGAATAAATGGGAGGGCCGGATCCTGCACAGCCCGAGAGCCCTGAACTCACTTAAACTTCGGACCACGGGGTCCGTCTGTCCGGGTGCGTCTTCCTCTGCTGAAGAGGAGTCGGTTTTTACACATCGCCTTTTGCATAGCAGGGCATCAGCTCCAAAGCACACCCACTGGAATTGCTTAAGTAATTCCTAAATATTTCTATAGGCATTTAAAGTGATTGCTTTTACTGTTGGGTAATACGTGTAATTAAGTCGGCGTTATTTAATTTAATATCCTGTATTTTACAGCGTATTTGGGGAGCTGGAAGCGGTGCTGCCCTCCCGTGCACAGCGCCAGGCGCAGCGTCAGAGCACAACTCGTTTTGATTCTATTAAAAACTCCTGCAAGGAGTTGCTGAAGGTTATGAATATTGGGTTCTTATTTTTTTTTTTAATTATGGTTATTCCCTTTATTACAGTTACTGTGAAGATCTGCCCCGCTTTTTAGGTTTTAACTCCAGTGCGACGGTTCCTTACAACCCCATTTTGCGCATACGAAACGATGCAATTGTCGCTTTAGAGAAATAAAAATATGGGAGAGAAATGACAGGCTAAATTTGGGAATTATTTTTACACTCCTAGAGGTTTAATTTTTTTGTCGTTGTTGTGTAATTGGATTTGGAAGATGTTGCTTCTGTCAAATTTAAAACTTCCGTGAAAGAACGGAAAACCTGGAACTGAGAGATGATAGAAACTATGAAGGCTTATAGAAAATTATTTCATAGATACAAGGCGCTGACAGAATCAATTATTCAGCCTAGCAGCGATTGATTTTTTGGAAACGAATTATTGTGGGTCAGTTTTATTTCCAAATTACAATGTTATATTTTTTTTCCTGTTAAGCACCTTAAAATTGATTTATTTTTTACGACTTTCATTTAGCAAAAAAAGTTTTTTTCTTTCTATTGCCGTCTACTTTTTTTAAAAAAAAATATATCTTTCAGAAAATGTTCACTGGCACCATCTGCGTGAAAGCCGTAACTATCTGAAGGTGATGTGTTTTGGGTTTAACCGGGCTCATCCGTACTCACAAAGGATCTAAACCGGTCCATCAAATCCCCCCCCCCCCCCCCATTTTTGTGTTTTAATTAAAATTTAGCTGATGGGGTGACCCCCGCGAGGTACAAGAGGGGAAAATAAGCACCTGCTCCTCTTGCCGCACGAAACGTGGATGCTAATATGAAAATATGTAGATGTTAGGAATACAAATAATTGATGAAGTACACATCCTTCGGGAGCAACACGGTTCAAGTGGCAAATCTCTTTCCTCAAACAATAGCCACCCTTCAGCGGGGAGGAAGCCATCTCTATGGTAATGGGGCCGACGCTGCCCTATTGATCGAGTGGAAGAAGACATTATACAATGTCAGTTGGGTTGTTACAATTTCATTTGTCGTCTGACCTGAACTTAACCTCTAAAACCTTTCTTTTCTCCCCACCAGCCGGGCAGCGTTGCTGTTTACCCTCGCGGGGTTTTTTTCTGTGCCTCCCAGCATCCCCGTACAGTAAATCTCTCCCTTTTTTTCCCCCTTGACTCTTTTTTTTTTGTTTAAGAGGCATTGCCCCGGTTTATTCCTCGGCAGGTCGGGACAATTTCTTTCACTGCTTAAGGAAGGAGTCGCGGTTGCCTCCGCGGCTGGGTGGTGTTTTGGGATGTTATGGCGTGTGCGGGATTAGGATCGAATTTATTCCTTAAACAGATTTCTCCTCTGCCAGGTGACGGCGGGCGGGATGCTCCGCGCAGACACTGCCGGGGTCGATAGGGAGCCACCCCAACTTCTTGTTTATTTAGTCATTATGTTCTATTATTCATTTCATTATATTTTTTTTTTTTTTTAAGCCCGGATTGTGCTTCTTAAAACTAAGTTATGTCGAACCGCGTTGATGCCTTTTGTCAGTAATCAGACTATCGCCGAGCGAGCGCTTTGCTCCTTTGAATTAGTTCTCAAATACGGGTTTTTCTCCATCTGCACAGTCTTAATAAATTGCTTGTAATTGTCGTAAAATGGCATTTACAAAGAGTTTTCTCAGACTGCTTGTAACAGAGGCAAATAATTCATCTTTGCTTTGAAAGAGGGGGGAGCTGCTTTATGTTTTTAGGACGCAGCAAGTGCGGCTATAGGATTGTTTCTTTAAACAACTATTTATTTGTTTTACTGTGGGAGGCAAAGCATAGCAAGTTTACAAAGTAAACCAATTATCTTCTTATGATATGATTGCCAAAGTGTCATTTTCTGCAAGATCGTGCGTCCTTTGCGTTTTCTGTTGCAAAGGGAGAGAGAATGCTTTCCCCTGCTCCCAGTGCATTTTATTTTTTTTCAGTGTATACCTTTCATAGCTTGGCTACTTTGCTGTATCTAAATACACAAAGCTAATTTATTGCAGGGGCAGGAGCAGAGTAGGAGGTGTTATTGCCTGAGTACTTCTGGTAAGTTTTTGCCAGCTTTATTCTGGCTGAGTTGCACGTGGGTTTTTGAAAAGAGGAAGACGTTGCATTAAGTTAAGTGGTTCATATCTCATCGGTTTGCTGCTCTGGGTGTCATGTTAAGTTTTGGACTATATATATATTAATATATAAATATTCCCTGTCCCAAGACCTTCCAAGCAACACACTGTAGATCTGTATGAAAACTGGAGCCATCTCTTCTCCCACCGCCAACAAAAAGGAGCGGTAGGCATGTTGTATAATGAAGTCATCAAGCATCAAAATGATTTGATCCCTTTGAAATCATCAAAATGTTTTGGAAATGGCGCTTGACCATCCTGATGGGTCTGAGGTTTCTTGTTCCAGTGCTGTGTGTCCTGGAGCTCCCGTGGGAAGGTTCTGGAGAAGGACCAGGCATGCTGGAGCACCGGGAGGATGGGTCACCTTCATGGCCATCCCCGGAGGGACCTCATGGCTGACGGTCCCTTAAAACTAATTGGTGCTGGGAAAAGTTGTCTGCTGCCTGTGGCAGGTGGGGAAATAGTCCGTGTCCCTGGGGTGTGTGGGTTTGCTGGAGCAGGACTCATCCCCAAAAGGTTTGACTCTTTTTTCGGGGGGGGCATGGTTTGGGGAAGATGGAGGGATGAGAGAGGAGCGCTTCGCTTGACATGCCGCTGCCCGCTCAACCATCATGGGAAATTAAAGTACTGGGCTTTGGGGAAGGAGGGATCTCCTTACAGGGCGTATTTGGATTTTTCCAGATTACAGATTATTGTAGATTACCACCGTTGTAGCACAGCGTGAAGATCTTGGCCACTTCAAAAGCAGCTGGGTTTAGGAACAAGTAGTTATGAAGTTTTAGGAGGGAGGGAAGAAAGGAAGGTACCCAAGTATTAATTTGCTTTTAGAAGAATATCTACTGTGACCTCTGGCTAATTGATCATATATATATATATATATAAAAATTTTTTTCCCCTTGTCCCCATAATAAACCGGTACCGAGTTCAGTCTGTTTGAAGACATTTCCAAATCTGTTCATTTGCATTTTGCTCTAAAGTAGGCACATTAGGCTGCAGTAACTGTGCTTCGTTTTGAAGGGAAGTGGGGGGGAAAGCAGGGCAAAAAAACTCTTTTTTTTTTTTTTTTTTTTTTTTTAAGACTGAAGAGTCTTTTCTGACAGCTAGTCAGAGTTAGAATTAGTTCAAGGAAATGTTAATAATGCACTGCCTGGCTTAATCCCTTTGATATCACCAGGTATCCTCCTGTTCATGGGTTAATTGCTTTAAAAGCGGAGGCAATATTCTGAGCGGTGGGCCGCTTCACCTTTTCACAGCTGTTACCATTGAGTGACAACTAAATCCCATGTGTAAGATGAGGAAGAGCTCAATCTCCAATTGGGAGAAAATTTATGTAAACCGCAATCCCTTCAGAATGTGCGGAAGTCACAGACTTTCTTGATTTACTCTGCTTTTCCCAGAAAGCTCCATTGTTCCCTTCCCTAAGTCCCATCAACCCTTTGTAGCAGAATATCACAGCGGCGGCAGATAGCTTGAAATATATAAATGCTATCATAGCTCTGATTAATAGCGGCGCTTATGAGTCAAGTCTGA